CGACAAATATTTAAATGATTTAATTAAACTTTTTTTTTCTTTTGTAAAGTTATTAAAAATTAAAATTTTACTTAAATATATAAAATTTTTTTTTTTTTGGAAAAATGTCAAAATTTTTACTCTCTTTCTCCCCTAGAATTTATTTATTTATTTATTATTATTATCGATCGAACGTAAATTGAAAATTTTATTTATTTATTTATTATTAATAAACATTTAAATTTTTTTTTTTTTTTGTAAATTTTACAATAATAATTAACGTATAAAAAATTATAATTAATTAATTAAAAAAATTTTTTGTTGTTTTTTTTTATTCACACCGAACGAGAGAAAATAAAAAAAAAAAAATGGAGGAAAAATTATTATTATTATTATACTCGATCGTGTTTGTTTGTTTCCTTTTATTAACGTCCTTTGTCGTTTGTTAATTGTTCTTTACATTTATAAACGGTTTTATAAAATGTTTTATATATTGTTTGATATTCCGAATCTGTTTTCGTACACGTTTTTGACGAATCACATTTTTCTGTTATTTTATTATTTATAAGTCGTTTAAAGCCTCTCGTGAATGGTTCTTTAACTGGAACGTATTCGCATTTTCTTTTCCAAAAACGAAATAAAAATATTTAATTACACAAAATTTTTTTATCTCTTTCTCTCAACTCATTGGGGATATTTACTTACCTTCTTTCGCATCGTATTCCATACGAATTTGAACTGCAAAGACACCAATTTCCAGGTGAACAGGTAGCACCGTTTTCACATGGAGGCTCACATACCGGAATTTCACAATTTATTCCGGTTGCATTGTGAGGACATTCGCATTGATTTGGTCCAACACACGTACCCCCATTTAAACAAGGAGATTCGCAATTGTCTATAATAAATAAAATGATGATGACGACACGATTATTTCAATAAAAACAAATTTATTTATTTATTTTTGTTAAAATGTTTCGATTTCAAATTTTTTTTATTTTATTTTTATTTACGATTTTAAAATACAATATAGTAAATTGAGAAAGCTTTTAAATTAATTTGAATTCAGAGATGAATTTTACGATGGAGAAGAAAATTTTTTTTTTTCTAAAAGCTTTAGGATTCGTATGAAAAACAAGGTATAAAAAAAAAAAAAAAATTAAAAACAAACCTCCGGGGATTTTAAAAACATTTAAATTTAAAATAATTTTTTTTTCGGTTTGCGCCTTAAAATTTTTTAGTTTTTACAAAATGTTATACATAAATGTATTACGTTAAAACTTTCTCCAATTTTCCGTGTTGAAATTTTCGCGTATGTATATGTTACGTGAAGTTTGCGGATTCCCGCTACCGAAAAAAAAAAAAGTAATGATGATAATAATAATAATTTTTCACGCCTTATTCGCCTATCCGCGTGTCGATTTGTAAACTTGGGGAGGGGAAAGAGGAAACGTTTTATTTGTTTATCATTATCATAACTCCTCATCGGAAAATTTAAATTTCTACCTAAATTTGCGCTGAATGAAAAAAAAAAAGGAAAAAGTTTTTAATACAGTGTTGTCAAATCGATCAAAAAAAAAAAAATTTAATAAAATTTATCCGTTAAACAGAAGAATCGGAAAAAAAATTAAGAATAAAAACGTTAGAAAAATTATTATTTTCATAAGTTAAGTATAAGTGAAAAGTTAAAAATTAATTTTCTTTATCTTAGTTTAACACTTTTTTTTATCCTCAATGGATTTAATCACGTTTCCGGATTAAGGATTTTCCCTTAAACGTATATGCTAAGTATTAAATGAATGAAAGGAAAACTTACATTTTTGACAATATGATCCAGTTGTATGAGCCGGACAAAGACATATATTCGGTTTTAAACACGTGCCCCCATTTTTACAGGGAGGATCACAAATGGCTGTAGAAAAAATAAGAAAAAAAAATTAATTTTTACCGGAAAAAAAAAATTACAAAATAGGAAAAAAAAAAATAAAATTTTTATTACGATTTTCGCATTTATCTCCCTGAAATCCATTTGGACAAGTGCAAACGTTATTGTTCAAACATCGTCCGCCATTTAAACAATCAATCGAACAATCAATTGAAATTTCACAAAATTCACCCCTGTAACCTTCGGGGCAAATACAATTTTTTTTTTCGCACGTACCCCCATTTAAACAAGAGCAAAAATTTTTTTTCGAACCTGATAAAAAAAAATATAATAATAATAATAAATTTAACGTGTTCGCGAACTTATATAATTTGTCATGTTCGGTGTCAAAAAATTCATGATAATAATGATGATAATGAAATATAAGGTGGTCGATGACAATAAAATCGGGATGGGGAAAAGGGGGGAAAAGGGACATGAGGGGAGATCGGAAACGTCGTAAAAATATGATATTCATCATCAATTATATTTTTTTTTTTTTACTAACAGGAAAAAAAATTTCCACCCTATTAATTTTTATCGTTGTTAACTTGTCACTATTAAAAACTTTTATTATTGAAAAATAAAAAAAATATCGTCTGCTAAACTCATTCGTGACGTAATAATAATAATTTAAGATGTGAATTTTTTTTTTTTAAAAAATGTAAATCTACAAATAATTTCTTTATTATTTTTTTCCGTTTGAGATTTATTAAACGAAAGAACGAACAAACAAACAAACAAACAGACAAATTATCAATTTTATTTTTTTTAAACTCGAGTCAATTTATTCAAACAAACAAACAAACGAAAAAAAAAAAAATTATTTTTTTTGATTTTTATTTAAACATTTATTCGAATTGAAATCGAAGATTACCGGAGGGGTGGGGAATTAAAGGGGGTAGATGGGGATGAGATTCAGGAACGGCAGCATCACAATCATCAGAAGAATCGAAGAAGAAGAAGAGAGAGAGAGAGATAAAACACAAAGTGAAAAGATTAAAAAAAAAAACGAAAAAGTTTTAAAATTTTCATCACGATTGATGAAAATGTAATTATTAATTAAATTTAAAATTTAAAAAAGATTTTTCCCATCGTCAAAACTTCAAACTTTTTATTTAAGGTAAACTTTATCCCCATATTATTTTACCATAAAAAACCCCACCCCGCCCTCACCCCCTCCCTCACACAATTCTTTTCCTAGTGGTAGAATCCACACCTCCTCCTCTCTTTCATCCCATCCCCTCATTTTCACTTCATTAAAATAATCAAAATGACGGTAAAGTTTTTATAATGAAAACAAACTTAATTATTTATCGGAAAAGGCAAATATAAATTCAATAATAATAATAATAATAATAATAATAATTCAAGGCATTTTATCGCGTGAAATTAAAAAATTCGCGACAATCGATAAAACTTTAACATCGATTTTTCGAATAGATTACAAAAAAAAAAAAAGTTTCGACTCCGCCATTGTCCTCGCCACCGCCACCTTCTACCACAGAATAAAATAGAATAAGACATAACGAAATAATAATAATAATAATAATAATAATAATAATAATAATAATAATAATAATAATAATAATAATAATAATTCAAGGCATTTTATCGCGTGAAATTAAAAAATTCGCGACAATCGATAAAACTTTAACATCGATTTTTAGGAATCGATTACGGAAAAAAAAAAAGTTTCGACCCCGCCACCGTCCCCGCCACCCCTCCACCACCTTCTACCACAGAGTAAGACATAATAGATAAGAAATAAAGAGATAATAATAATAATAATAATACTTATTTACTCTATGAAAATTATTCGCGAGAGAAATAAGAATGAATATATATAAAAAAAGGATTTAAAAATATATTTTGTATCGCGACATTTTTTATTTTTATTTTTTTTTTTTTTCGGGTAAATCTCGTGAGAAAATTTTTATTTTCACGAAGGGGAGAGAGGGGGGATGAGAGAGAGAGAGAAAAGGTCACACATAAACGTTCATGTATTTGTCATTAATAAAAAAAAAGATTTTCGTTTGTTGAGTCGTTTGACAACCACTCAAAGTTTTTTTTTTTTTTCTTCATCTTGTTGCCCGCGAAGAGGGAAAAGCTTAAAATTGCGTGAAGAAAATTTTTTTTTTCCTTTTTTTTCCTTTTTTTTTTCCTTTTATTTTTACAACGCGAGATTACGACCGAATAGGGAAAAGAAAAAAGTAGAAAACAAAACGTTTTTTTTATTATCATCATCATCATAATCATAATAATAATCATCGTGTACGTAATTATCATCTTCTTTTTTATTATTATTATTATAAAAAAAAAAAATTTCTTTTTGTTACACTTCATTTTTTTCCCTTTTTTTTTTGTAAATTAAGTTTTCCGACCTTTTGACCCCTCTCTTCTCTTTAAAAAAAAAAACTTTCCAACCGACATTTTTACTAGTTGAAAGTTTATTTTGTGCCACGATTTAAGTTCGGTTAATTAAACGACTCGAGAAAATTTTCATTTTTTTTTTTTTTTCGTTTTCCCACCATCTGGTTTATAATTAAATTTTTATTATAACATTATTGCTCTTTTTTTTTTATCAAACCGGAAGTTCTCTTTCTCTCTCTCTTCTTTACCACTTACCCCCTCCCCGTTTAAACCTTTTTTACTTAACCGCCCCCCACCTTCCCGAAAAAAAAAAAAACGTTTTAATTATTTTTATTGTTTTGTTAATGAAAAAAAATTTCAACTCGATGGTTACTTATTTTAATTTTTTTTTTTTTTACCTTTGAAATTTTCCTTTTCCTTTTTTAAAAAGGTAAAAAGAGAGTTAGTAAAAGGTAAGAGTTTAAAAAAACCACCACTTTGTTACGAATAATAATAATAATAGTAATAATAAATTAATTTACTGCCCCCCGGTAATTGGGTCCGACGGTAAAAAAAAAATTTTCCTTTTTTTAAGTTTTTCTTTTCTTTTTTCCTTTTTACATATAAAACCCATTTGCAAAAAATTATTATTATTATTATTAAAAATAACGTACGTAAATATTTACATAAATTTTTTTTATTAAAATAATAATAATAACAATTAATAAATTAATTTCCTCTCGCCCTCTCGTAAGTCCATCGTTTTTTTTTTTTTTTTTCGTTTACATTTTCGCATTATTATTATTATTATTATTATCATCGTTAAAAATTAATAAATAATAATAATAATAATAAGTTATTAACTTGTATATCGAATTAATAAATTTTTTTTAAAAGAAAAAGAAAGAAAGAAAGAATAAAAAAAATAATTTTGCGTTTCAAAATAAAAGAAAAAAATTTTTTAATCTAACCTAATTTTTGGCGGGAAAAAAGGAAAATTTTAAACTTTTCCGTTGAAAAAAAGAAAAAAAAGAATTTATTAAAAGTATTTTTTTCCGAGGAGGGAGGGGGGAGGGAGGAAGGTAGATAAAGAAAACAAAAAAAAAGGAATGGATTTTCATTTGGATGAATGAGAAAATGGGGGAAGGAAAAAGAAGGAGAAAGAGGAGGGAGGAAGAGGATAAAGGGAACCGGAGAAATATTTTAATAAAATTTAATTAAACTCAATTAATAACGATAATAATAATAATAAGAATAAATAAATAAAAAAAACTTACCCTGTTCTTTATAGATTTTCCTTTTCAATAAATTCCAGCGTTTATTCGATTCCATTTTATTATTATTATCATCGTCGTCGTTGTCGTCGTCGTCGTCGTCGTCGCGGTGGCGGTGAAATTTTTTTCCAGTTGTCGATTGTTGCGTTGTATAATTGTCGGTAAAATATATATCAAAAGGATCGTTGTTAATATTTTTACGAAATATATCCGTATCGTAAAAATTATACGAATCATTATTATTATTATTATTATCATTATCATTATTTTCCATATTCGATATCGTATTTAAATCCTTTCGACTGGAAATCACGTCCGATTTGAATTTGCTCCCATAAGAAAACCTTCTTTTTTTCCATTTCGACGATAGAAATTGGTAATTTTTTTTTTTTTTTTTTTTTTTAAATAACGAATAATCGCAAGTGTTTAATATGCACGATCTTGTTTCCGTTTTTTCACTTCCGGATTCTAAACATAATTCCAATTCATTTCCGTCGTCAACGCATCTCGAATATCTCGTCTGTAAACCGTGACCGCATGTTTGAGAACACGGAGACCATTCGGACCATTCGATTTCTGTAATTATAAAATTATTATTATCATTATCATCATCGTAGTAGCATAAACCGTGAGGGAGAGAGGAGGGGAGAGGGGAGGTGGAGGGGGGGTAGATTTTTTGGAAAGAGCAAAGAAAAAAAATATTTAACGGGAAAAAAGAGAAAATAAAAAGGCTTAAACTTAATACTTAAAGTTTTCCTTAAACGAACAAAGAAAGAAAAGGAAAATGAAAAAGGAGAAAAAGAATAAAAGAAAAAAAGGGAAAATTCCAGAATTTTCTCTTCTTTTCCTCCAGTTCATCTTTTAACGCTCTTTTTTTTATATTAAAAACAATTCTTTTTAAACTTTCAATATTTTTTTTTTTTCTTTCAATTTCTTAATCAAACTTTTTTTTTTTTTCTACTCCCTTTACACTACCTCATTCATCCTCCATTACTTTTTCTCTGTTTCCTTTTTCTATCTTTTTCTTAAATACAAACTTTGACGGGAGGGGGGGGGGAAACTGTAGAAAAAGACGAAGGATAAGAAAAATGAGAGCCCAGGGATTTTTCCCTTTTTTCCTTTAAAAAAAAAATTCCAAAAATAATAAAAGACAAAACTTTTTTTTTAAAAATAAATAATTCAATTTAAAGACACTACGACGATGATAATAATAATAAACGCGGGGGAGTCGGGGGGAGGGGGATGAAATAACATTAAACGAATAAACAAAGGGGGAAAGGGGGGAGGGGAACGAACAAACACGAGATTAATAATAAACGAATCTTTTTTTTTTCGTGTTGTGGGGAAACCTTAAAAGAGTTAAAAATAAATAAATCCTTTCGGATGCTGTGCGTGCGTGCGTTTGCGCATGCGCACGCGCGAAAATTTAAATCTCATAATTTAAAACCTTTTTTTTTCCCTCTCGTAAAAAAAAACGAAAACTTTTGTGGTTTAAAAAAAAAAAAAAACTAACCAAAGTCGGTTTTATTGAAAGATGATCCTCCATAACCGCTTCCTTCAATCGATTCATCATCTCGAGTAAATTTATTTATTTTTTTAAATAGTAATTTTTCCCTTTGGCGACGATGATGATGCTGTCGATGCTGTTGGTGCTGTTGATGCTGGTGATGGTGGTGTTGAATTTTTTTTTTAGTTTTTTTATTCGTAAAAAAATTTTTTTTTTTTTTTCTTTCATTTTGGTCGATTATCGTCGGATCGAAAATTGGAATTTTCGTGCTGGAACATTGTTGGGCAACAGCACCTGGATTTGAAACGATCATTAATTGTTCTAGTTCTCCCTGTTGAGAAATTCAAAAAAAAAAAAATTTAAATGAAAAATTTTAGCGGCGTTTTTTGTCCAAAAACGGAAATTGAAAAATACCTGAAAAAGATAACCTATAATTAAATCCGCATCTTCCGGATGATACAATTCGTTTCTTTTCAATATATCAGTGCTAACCCATGCGCAATCTAAAAAACTTCGTACGGAATTATCATCTTGCAATCTGGAAAAAAAAAAAAAAACGATGACGTCAACAGGCGCGACGACAGCTTTATCACCTCCCCACCTCACCCCTCCGGAAGTTAATCATCGTTAAAATAAATAAAAAAAATACGAACGCAATTCCGAGTTGATGCCAATGTCCGTCATTTATTTTCATCGGTATGACGATGGCTTGAGTTCCATTTTTTCCAGAATGTAAAATTCTTATTCTGTCCGGTTCTTTTAATTCCAATGACAGATAAGAATTTTTTTCCTTTTTCGATCTCAAACTAAACAAAACACCTTCGAGCGGTTTCTGCAATAATAATAATAATAATAATAATAATAAGTACCCGATCGGGTAAGAAAATCGTGGGGAGAAAAACGAGCATTAAAGAAAAAAAAACAAAAACGTCAGCAAACAACAAATCATAAAAAAAAATGTGTGTGTATAAAAATGATGTCTGGAGAAGTTATAACATCGATAAAAAACCTTTTCCAGGGCCCTAAAATTATCCAGACTTAACTTCTTCTATTTAAATGCAAATCGACTAATTTGTTTTTTCTTTTTTTTTTTTTTTTAACCGACGACTGGAGAAAATAGTCTTTTACGACCTTTTTTTTTTTTACAAACATTTTATTCTCTCTTTCTTTCTCTCTCACTTTATCTCTATCTATTTATCTCTCTCTTTCCCACAAATTTTCTCATTTGCAAAAGTTAAAAATCGTAAAAAAAAAAAAAAATCATCTTAATTTTATTATTTTTTTCAAGTATTAAAAAGTTGTTCAAAGAATGTTCGCCATTTTGTCTTTTGTCGTTAAAAAAAAATCAAAAATTATTTTTCAATTTGTTTTATCATTATTATTATTATTATTATTATTTGTCAGGCTGTTGTCAGGTATCGCAGGCAAACTTGTCTTTTAAATTTTATACATATTTTTTTTAAAATCAACCGGACACTTTTTTTTTTTTAAGATGATTTCTGTAAGAGGAAAAATTTAATGACGTTTCCGGTTTTATGTAGCCAATGAAAATTCGAGAATTTTATTAGTTTCCGGTTATTTTTATCCAAAAAAAAAAAAAAAATTTTAATAAATCGATAAAAATTATTTTTTAAGTTATGGAAAAATTAATGACTGACATATGTCGGTATAATCAACGAAAATCTTAAAGTGGCAGGAGATATTTTAAAAACGGAAATTGAAACGCGACACACAATGTGAAAAAAAAAAAAAGGATCGACGAATTTATTCCCGAGGGAAAGGGGAAAAGAGAAGAAGTTTTTTTTTGAAATTGCTAAAATGTGATAAGCGAAACAAACGAAAAGGAAAAAAAAATTTTTTTTTTTTAGTCGGGGCATTAGAACCCGTTCAAAAACAATTTGAGAGAAAAAAAAAGTGAAATAAATATGCTGGAAAAAGTTATTATTATTATTATTATTAAACAAAACGGACGAGTTATTATTATTATTATCGTTCGGAGATGGTCACATACTGAGAAAGGTTTTTCGGAAAAATCTCCAGAGAGAGAGAGAGAGAGAGAGAATTCCAGTATTATTATTAATATATTTTTAGAAAATTCAAAAAAGGTAGCAGGAGGTAAAATTTTCAAAATTTTTATTTTATTTTTCTATAAAAATTTTAAACAATCACGAATATAAACAAACAAACAAAAATTGTTTGTTTGTTTGTTTAAAGGTATTTTCCATTTTAAAAAAAAATTAATTAATTATTAATGAACGAGACAAAAAAAATTTTTTTTTTTTATAAAACTTTTTTATTAATTTTATTTTATTTCCCCCCCCCTTGAATTTTAATTTATTTCCGGTTTGGAAAAAAAAGCAGAAGGCGAGTTTTAAAAAAAAAAAAATAAGAACGAAACTTTTTGAATCACCATCGAAAACGAAAAAGGAAGAAAGAAAAAAATTGTTTTCAACGTCACACCTGGGCCAATGAGAAAAAAAATTCTTTCTCTCTCTCTCTCACTCTATCTTTCTCTTTCTTTTCCATTCACTTTTCCCTACTTCATCACAGATCATTCTAGATATTCAATTCGACTTAGCTTCCAGCAGCATCAGTATCAGTAGCAACGGCAGCAACAGCAACAGACCAAAGACTCCTGTCAATAAAATAAGTGGCATTCCTATTTCCTTTCAATTTTTTTTTTTTTTCTTCTTTCCAACATTTTAACTTTTCCATCTTTAATTCCAGTTTCCACCCCCTCCTCCTCCTCCCTTATCCCTTCTCTTTCTCTCTCACTCGTCAAATCAAATGATATTTTTTCTTCTAACTTTTTTTTTTTTATTATTAAAAAATGACAAAATGAAAAATTTTTTTTTTTTTTTTTCATTTCGAAAAAAGGAATTGAGAAAAAGAAAACCTTTAATAATAATGATAATAGGGATATAATATTATAACGGAAATTTTTTTTTTAAATATCACTTCAACGAAAGGATAATGATGATAATAATAATAAAAAAGGTTTTTTTTTTTTGTAAAAAAAAGAGGAAATCTAAGCATCGAACAAACGACAGCAAAAACAAAAAAAAAAAAAGGAAAAAAAAAAGGTTTTTTTGTTAAAATTAGTTCAATCACTCTTTAATTTTATTTTCAAACCTTTTGAATACTCAAAAAAAAAAGAGAGAGAGAGAGGGGGGAAAGGAGAGAGAGAGGGAAAGGGAGAAAGAGAGAAGAGAGGGAGAGAAGTTTTTTTTGTGATTTCGGTTTTTTGAAATTTCAACCTGGAGTAAAAGGAGAGCTGAAAGGGATAGGAAGGAAGGAAGGAAAAGGAGGGAAGGGGTGGGGAAGGGGAAGGAGGAAGGGGAGGAAAAAAGGAAAATTTTCACGTGTTTCCTACCCGCACTTATACGTCCCGATCTGACTTCCGCTCGAGGAATTCATGGCCGTTGTTCAGGCGTGATATTCACTTGCCTCAAAGAATTCCCCCCCCCCCTTCTCTCTCTCTCTCTCTCTTTTTTCCACTCGTGCGATTTTTCTTTCTTTTGTGTACATTTAAAAAATTTCCATTTTTTTTTTATTCGAACCGCGCACGCGCACACTCGTAAATGCGTTTTTTTGTGTGTGTGTGTATAGCCTTGGCTACAAACTCATGCGCCATTTATATTTATATAAAATGTAAAATTTACTTTTTCATTTTCTTTTTTTTTTCCGCCATAAATTTTTCCTCATTTTTAGGTGACAAACGAAAACTTAAGAAAAAAAAAAAATCCATTTCAATTTTATTTTATTTTTTTTTTCATTCCTTCCTCCCCTCCCCTCGCCCCAACACGCCCGTCCCCCCTCCTCGTTTTATTCAACCGAGAATTTTTATTATTATTATCATCATCGCTAAAGAGACAGATTCCAAAAAAAAAAAAATAATAATAATAATAATTCACATTGCTGGAGAGAAAAGAAATTGTTTGGCGCGTGAAAATAAAAACTCAAGGTTTAAATTCAGGTGCGATTAATAATAATAATAATAATAATAATAATAATAATAATAATAATAATAATAAATTTTCTACAGTTAAAATCGGAATATAAAATTTTTTTTTTTTGACTTTTCCTTTTCAATTTTCTTTTAAAAAAAAACACGTTTCGAATTCAAATTAGGTTTTTTTTTTCTGTTTTTGTCTTTTCTGACGTGATGTTAACTTTTTGTCTTCTGCTTTTGTTTTGTTTATATTTTGTTGACTTTTTTTTTTAAAAAAAAAAAAAAGAAAAACGAATAAAAACTTTTAAAATTTAATTCGGTGAAGAAGAAAAAAAAAAAAGTATCAAAGTTTAAAAAAAAAAAAAGGGAAAAAAGGGAAAAAATTTTTATTGACTAAATAACGCCTTTTTTTCTCTTACCTTTGGGCTTAGTTTTAACGTGACAAGGAAGGAAAATTCTTTTGGAAAAATTCCAGAACGATGACTCGTTGATTTATTTGAAAATATTTGAGAGGAAGGAACCCAAATACAAGAATTTGGACGAAGTTTCCACGCCGCTGGCCTTCCTAAAACTTTTTCCCATTCTCCTCTGGACGGATGAAAAAAACGACGATCGTTTAATTGTATGGGATCAACCGTACCTGGAATTTTACATTAAATAATTTTAAATACAAAATTATCACGACAAGGACGATGACAAACAACAAACAATTTTCCAGGAATTTCATTTTTTCTTTTTTTCCAGTTGTAAAAAAGAAAAGAAAAAAAATTTTGGAATGAGAATGAGGAAAAACATAATTTATGGATAAAATAAAAAAAAAAATGAAAGTTTTTATAAGAAATCAATGATGATAATGATAAGAAAATTATTAGATATATCAACTGGAAAAAAGTCACGTGACAAACAAAGGTACCGACGACGACAAAAAAAACGATATTAAAAATTTATTAACCGATCAAAAATCAATAAAAAAAATTATTAATTCATTTCATTTCGTTTTTTTTTTCAGTTAATGGTTAATCATATAAAAAAAAATCCTTTTCTAATGCCACGTTTTTTTAAAAATATATTATTAACGAATAATAAAAGTTTGAAAAAGAATGAACGTGTATATATAGGAAAATCCGGATTATGGAAAAATTTTTATCAAAAAAAAAAAAAAAAAGAAAAAACTTTTTTCATTATTTTAATAACTTTAAAAAATCAAAAAAAAAAAAAAGACAGAGATAGAGAGAGAGAGAGGGAGAGAGATAAAAAATAAAAACTGGAAAAAAATTTTCCGATACCGACAACAAAATTTCATATGATAAATTTTTTTTTTTAAAATTCGAACTGGAAAAAAAAATTTGTCTCGTTTTTTATGATAAATTATAACTCGTATAAGGAAAGAAAAATAAGATAAAAATTTTTTTTTTAAGTTGGCAACAGTTAAAAGAAATAAATATATTTAAAAAAAGGCGGGAAAATTTAAAAAAAAAAAAATTAATTCTTTTCGTTTTTCTTTATCAATCGAAATTTTCTTCTTCACGTCATGAATATTCATTAATTTAGAAAAACGATGACGACGTCACGAAAAAAAATATTATTATTATTATTATTATTATTATTATTATTATTTGTTTAAATAAATTTTATATCAAAGATGGCGGATGACGGCATTTGAAACGTAAGCTTTAAAAATTAATTAAATAAAGTTAAAATAAAAATAAAACAAATTTAATGAAGAATACTAAATTCAGTTGAGATTTTAAAGTTTTTTTTTTTTTTTTTTTTTTTTACTAGTTGTAGTAAATCTTTAGGAATTCTAATTAAAAATTTTTTTTTGTAAACGAATATTTTATAAAAATAAACAAACAAACGAAAACAAACAAACTAAAAATTTAAATAATTATAATAAATAAATTTTAAAATACAAAAACATTGTGTGTCTGTTTAGATTTTCCACATACCTTGACATGAAAACATGTTACACCTTCTTCTTTCTTTATTATATCCGTGACAGGTATAATCATTATTATTATTATCATCATCATCATTATCATCGTAGTATTTTAAATGACACTTCCGAGTCCTTTCTTGATAACCTTCTCCGCATGATACGCTACAAGTTCCCCAATCGCTCCAATTTTCCCAACCTGAACAACAACAACAACAACGATATGATTAATATTATTTTTTTTTTTTTTTTAAATCGGAGGGT